AGCCTGAAGGCCCGTTTCTAACCAGTGGCACTCACAGCTGCCTGGCCCCACCCCCCTTTGGGGTACAGTAGCTGGACCCTTCCCAAGACGGAAAGGTCTGGAGGTGCCCAACCGGGATTCCTCGAGGCAAAAGCTGGTGTTGGGCAAGACCCACCACAATGGGGTCCCTGGGGTCCCAGGGAGCCTGTGAGTGTTTTCTGTAAGAGAAAGGTGTAGGGAGCACCCATCACCTCAAAACGGCACATGAAAGCCTTCAGGTTTGGAAATTCATCCAGGCACTTGGGCTCAAACATACGGTTCTGATCCAAGACATCGTAGGTGAGGAAATCCACAAAGGTGAGCTAGAGACACAGTAAGATGGTGAGGTCGGGGGAGTTCATGAGCACCTGCAGTGACAGAGAGCAATCCTCTCCCTTCCCCCCCTCCTACCTTTTCCCCTGCAAACCACGAGAATTTCCCCAGGAACAGGGAGAACTGTTTCAGTTGTCCAGGGAGCTGTTCCAAGTACTGGGGCTTCAGCTTTTCCTGGGGCAGGGGGGGGGGGGAGGAGGAGAGAGAGAGAGAATAGCTGTCATCATGTTCACAGCTAACTGGGGCTCAGGGCCCCTTCCCCAGGCACCTTCCTCTCCAGGTGCCTCAGGTTGGGATGGCAGGGTGCACAGGAGGGGTTTGGAACGGAAGAGGGCCAACACCACAGTTTATGACAAACCCCCACCAAGTCAGAGTTCTGCTTCCTATTCCGACAGCTTGGGTTGGTGGGAAGGTGGCAGGAGAATGGGGACTTGACCTTGGGTTCCTAAGGCTCCTTCCCCTCATGCCTGCCTGCCGGGGAGACTCACATGGTCCGAGTTGTAGCAGATTCGAACCAGTTGCATGCGGAAATCCATGATCTGGTTCTCCATGATGTCCACGCGGATCTTTTCTTCTTCAGTATCCCCACCTGTCGGCCAGATGACAAGCAATCACCCTGGGCATATCCACCCCCCAGAGAGCGGCCAGCCTTGTCCCCGTCCCCAGCCCTACCCACTCACACATGTTGTGCTTGCGTGCGATGTAGCGCAAGATGGCGTTGCTCTGGGTGATCTTGTTCTTGCCGTCCATGAGGTAGGGCAGCTGGAAGGAAAAGATGAAATGAACAACCTGCCTGTCTCCTGGGGCAGGTGAGAATTTCAGGGACATGGACAGTAGAGAGAAGATGCCCTGTCAGCAGGAAGAAGCACATAAGTAGAAGGTGGAGATTGGGCCCCCACCTGAATTTAGGCAGGTGTGTGTGTGTGTGTGTGTGTGTGTGTGTATGCCATGGACCCTTCTTGCAGAAGTTTTTTAAAGGCATAAAGCAAATTACACATATTTACACAATTTATAAAAACATTAAGAAAACAAAATTGTAACAGTAGTATGTGCCTATTTGTGAATTAAATAACAAGCAGGGGTAATAATTACCACAATGTCCAAGTATGATGGATGTACATATTTATTTACAATACCTCCCACATATCCAATAGAATATGAAAATACCTGATTTCTACTAGTGACAAAGCCACAAACATGGCCCATAACCAGCGTCACTTACTGCTCATATGCACAATAGAAGCAACTGGTAACTTGAGTTAGTGCTTTGTGGAAGTGAGAATAACTCTTCCCTCCAAGTTCTTGAGCCCCTGAAGGCTGTTTATTCTATCCAGGCGAAGAGCCCCTGCTGTAGATGCCCCCCAGGCCAGAAAGGGAAGAAGTGAGGGTCCAGGTGACACCTTCCCTCTGGGCCCCCTTCTCCTAAACCACCTACGTTGGGAAAGTCCAGGTCCAGCTTGAATTTCACGTCCAGCCATTGGCTTTTATCAAAGTCAGGAGCTGCAAGAGAGAACGAAGTGGGATCCGACCTCCTTAACTTCCAGCCCGAGGGCGGTGGGAAGAGCTGGGGAGAGAGCCTGTCCCAGGAGCGCATCCCCAGGCCCCCCTGCCTCACCCCTTCATCGCTGGGGCCGCGCTGGTGAAGGGTGAGGACCGGGTTGGGCGGAGGGAGAGCCCAGCTGCAGGTGAGCGCTTCCAGGTGACGGGGCACCCCTCGCCCTGGGCTGGGAGCGATGCCGCCCCCGGGGCACAGGACGCGCCTTACCTCCCCCGCAGGTGTACCGTTTCTCCTCGTAGCAGGTACCGGTGAACTCCAGGAGCAGGCGGATGGCGTGCGCCAGCTGGGGGGACAGCCTGGTCGG